GATATACAAAACAATAGATGTTTATGAATCACCGGTAGTGCATTATGACATATTCACAAAATAAAATCCATTTGTGTCTGCAGTACAAATAGTTGTAAACTGAAACCCTTTATATGAACTGAAACCATTTACATGAACAGAAACCATTTACATGAACAGAAACCATTTACATGAACTGAAACCATTTACATGAACAGAAACCATTTACATGAACAGAAACCCTTTATATGAACTGAAACCATTTACATGAACTGAAACCATTTACATGAACTGAAACCATTTACATGAAAGGTTTTTTACACTGCTGATTAGCTCTTTTAGCTCCAAGCAACAGGTGGTTTGTGACTGCCTTTCAAGAAATATACGAACAACTACCTTGTTAACTTCGGTTTGGTAAAACATGTCAGTGAAATTTGGTAAATTATACAAATACCACGAATGGTAAAACATGACAATGAAAATGGTCAATTACATAAGTATCAAGAATGGCAAAATATGACACTGAAATTGGTAAATTACATAAGTATCAAGAATGGCAAAATATGACACTGAAAACAGTAAACCATTACAAGCATCAAGAATGGCAAAATATGACAATAAAAACAGTCAATTGTACAAACTATAAAAAAATAATTTTGTTGACAGAAAAAAAATTAAGATATTTCAAACATGCCCCCCCCCCCCCCCCCCCCCCCCAAATAATTAATGAATAATGGCAGGTAAAAGGACTGATCTCAAGGAATATAAGAAATGTGTTACATTAGAAGGTCAGTAGTATACATATCTTCACTACTACTCATTGTTTTATACTGCTATAGACAATTCAGTCACTTTACTGAAAAAGTGATATAATGCCCTTTAAAAACATTATAAATATTACAACATAAGTGTCATAGTGAAAACATCAGTGTAAATGTCAGTATTACAGTATAAATGTCAGTATTACAGTATAAATGTCAGTATTACAGTATAAATGTCAGTATTATAGTATAAATGTCAGTATTACAGTATAAATGTCAGTATTACAGTATAAAAGTCAGTATTACAGTATAAATGTCAATTTACATGTCACCGCAAATGTTGATGTAAACTGCACTCAGAATTTGTTTGTTTGAAGAACGGATCAACATCATGTCACAGGGGTAGTAACTCATTAGTGCACTGTTCTTCTCCTAACTAAAGTCTGAGTCCGAAGAAGCTCAGCACAGTGTACAGACTCTGTAGCAACATCGAGGATCCTGAAATACTTTGGGTAGATTTTTAACTCCAAATTTTGCCCGGGCAATGCCGTTAGGCTACTCTTTTCGATTTCCAACTGCCAAAGGATTTTTTTTTACTTGCACACCAATGCACACGGGTGTCCGATCTTACCCAGTGACCAGGAAAAATTACTAGAAAATTACTAGAAGTTGAAGTCCATGATAAAAAATCCCAGCCGATAACAGGGATTGAACCCTAAACCTCCAGCACTCAAGGCAAACACCATGCCTCAAGACCACGCACCGCCCCCCCCCCCCTTTCTAATTAGTAAATAACAATTTTATAGTGTAAACTCAGTGCAACAGTATATGTAAACATCACAGTGTCAGTGTCACAGTGTGAGTGTGTCAGTGTTTCAGTGTCACAGTGTCAGTGTTGCAGTGTCAGTGTCGCAGTGTCAGTGTCGCAGTGTCAGTGTCGCAGTGTGAGTGTTGCATTGTCAGTGTCACAGTGTCAGTGTTGCAGTGTCAGTGTTGCAGTGTGGGTGTTGCATTGTCAGTGTCGCAGTGTGAGTGTTGCATTGTCAGTGTCACAGTGTCAGTGGCGCAGTGTTAACACAGCTTTGAACGGCTGAAGACAATAAATCTACTGAACACCAATTGATATGAGTCCCACTCATTGGACAAACTAACTAAAAATAAATGAAACACTGACACACTTTCAGCAGTATATGTATACATAAATAAAAGATATATATTTGACATACTTGAAAGACCAGATAACAAACAGCCAGGATGTTCAACAACAAACGTTCAAACACCACAGCCTACATTTTACAATCAAGACACTGTTCTAAATCTACTTGCAGCTTTGGCTAGATGCTTGCCTGCCAGCCAGAGGTCTTAGGTATGAATCTGAATAGTCGTATTTTTTTTTCTTCACAAAATGACTGGCTTACGGGTCGACCCAGCCTAAAATGGGTACCGGGTAGATTCCTTGGATGTCAAGCAGTCAGTGGGACATTGACAACATCACTCATCGAGTGTCAACTGGTCTACACACAAATGAATCTGGCTTTAAATCCCTGATAGTTATGCCACTGGAGTCAAAAAGATCCTTGTTAAAATGTGTTTAAAAAAAATAAAACTATAATATTAAGGTAAAAAAAAATCTAATAATAATGTTAAAAACAGTAATGATAATGATGTAAACAAGATAAAAAATTATAATCTAAAACAAATGTAACAAATAAAAATAAAGACCAGACAGCGAACAGTAAAGGTGTTCAACGGGAAATTTTTTCACTCCACAACCTACATTTTTACAATAAAGATACTGTAATAAATCTACTGGCCTTTCCACTTATTAAAAAAAATGTCACAAATGTCAACGGCATTCAGTGACAAGATTATACCTGGGACCGATGAATTTGTTGAATGTTGAATTAAGCCTCGACATCACAATACTCGGGTCACTCCCATAAGTGCTCCGTCCCCATTTTCAACATCAGAGAAGAGTTCCAATTCCGATGGCACCAGTAGCCGGTCTCATCCTTCCCCTGAGTGTTGAGCGTTGTCCACATCCTCTGGTAACTCCTCGCAGCGCCATTCTTCTCAGGCTATCGTGATTTATCTGCGCATTCGCACTGTTCACTCGTTCCAAAAGGGCCCTCACAATATCTAGCTTGTCATACATCAGTTTACCACCAAGTGCTACAGAGCCGGCCAGTCTATCTGCCTGCTCATTTCCCAACACACTGGCATCACCTGGAGAAAAGGATGCCAACTACCTGGAACCTCTGAAGTGATGCTTGCCACTCTGCACGCCTGTCTCCACCTTTCAACATGCCCTGTGAGTCAGTTACAATCAAGGCATGTTTGTACAGCTGATTCTTAAGCCAGCGGACTGATGATTTTGTAATTAGCTAGTTACATATCATTTACAGAAGGGGTCTCCGACCTTGGGAAGAGGGGTGGGGGTGGGGGTGGGGTGGGGGGGGGGGGGGGGTGTGGCGTCAAGCAATTAAGTGCATTTGTATTTGTAATAATCTGTTAGATTATTTTATCTAACTCATTTGATAACACAGGCATTTAATTACAGACATTAAGAACACATTCTGACCAAAACATGTCTCCATACTTTCTGTTGCTCTTTTTTTGCAGAATCTACTGTCCTCTTTTTAATGTCTTTTTTTATTTTATTATGTCTAAGGAGCGCGTGGGAGGGAGGGGGGGGGGGGGTTGTTTCCTTGCGATATGTTTACGGTTGGGTGCGTGGAAGTCTTGCCATAATCTCAAGGGGGCCTGGCCTGACAAAAAAAAAAAAGGTTTGGAGACCACTGCTTTACAGGACACCAGAAACCAATCCCTGCATATGACAGCCATTTTGGGGAGTTTTACCAGGCAATTGTGTGATCAGCAGTCTGCTGCTGTCTATAAATGATCCATGCTCAAACTTCAATTCCTGCTGGCTATGCTGAGCATGGAGACACTGAGATGGCCGCTGCATCAGAGGATGGAGCAAGAGAATGGGGTCAGACTGGTGTGCCGGGTTTATCGATACAGATAACAAGTATCATGCTGTTGTTGGAGTCAATGCAAATGGGTCTGCCACCACATCATATACAGCCGAACTGAACCAGGTATATCAGAATTAAAACACTGTGCTCATAACCCCTTTGTGGCAGAAGCCAATTTTACTGTCTGTGTTTATTTACAAATTTATTAGTTAAAGGGAATCTGAAGATTTCAGGTGGTAAAGCTAGTGCAGTTACCATGAACAGTGCAGGTTCAGATTTTTCTTGTGGTTTTTTTTACCACTTGACTGAAAATAAAATCACTATATATGAACTTGGGAGCTGCCATGGTCAAGCGGCTAGACACTCGGCTGCGGAATGGAAGGTCAGGGGTTCGGTCTCTGACAAGAGCCAGATTTTTTTCAAAAATGGCCTTGGCTTCCAGCCTTGAATTGGTACCAGGTATAGTCCTAGGAAGTAAAGGCCCACCGCTGGAAATTAACCACACTACTCGAGGATCATGAAACTGTTAACTGCATTTGCTAACCTCTAAGCCACACAAAAAACATTAGAACTTATTTATACAACATTAGAATGGTGTGAATTTTATCATCTCCAATCTATTACCACATGCCAATCACTGCATGCTTCCTTGTCCTAATTTTTCTAACGCCCATGTATAAAAAGAATGTAAATGCTACCTTTCTTTGAATAAATTTACTAAAATTGTAAATTACAAAATATAATTTTTCAAAAATACCACTGAGTTAGCACCAAAATGTTTACAAATCGCTCCACCAACCCCCCCCTCCCCCGCCCCCCACCCCCACCCCAAAAAAAACTTAACCTCACCACCTTACCTCTACTTTGCCTTTAACCTCAAAAAGAAAGACAAAAACTGCAGATAAAAGAGTTGAATGGAAGCATACCACAAGGGAGGCATACAAATAAGCTAGAAAAGAAAAATGAATGTGCGTGCAAAATCTAAGTTCTGGAATAAGACCAAAGTGGAAAATGGATAAACAACCAAAATTGTCCACTGGAGTTTACACCCAGCAATTCCTAAGAAAAAGAAGAATAAGTTAAAGAAAAAAAAATTGTTCTGCATTTCAAAATATGTAGCCAGATTTATTTGTAAGCATGTATGGACCAAATGTAAGAAATAATTTAACACACCTAGCACTGCTTGATACAGGGAAAATAGCTTATCAGGCAGAATATGTTAACCTCAGTTTGAATGAGTTCAGTAGTGTAATAATATACCCTGCTATGTCTAACTTAACTGTTACTTCTTCTGCCTATCCAGTCTAGGGTTTAAATGCAGGCACTCAAATATTGTGATAAAAAACAGAACACCTGTGATAAAGAATGGGAAACTAATGTCCAAGGGTGGGCCGATGTCTTCACCATAAGTTACCGTCCATGAAAACAAAAGTCCTGCTAGCAATGGAGCCACAGTCCTGGAGATGGAAATACATAAATTATCAGAATGACACTTAAAAAAAAAAATACAAGTTGGTACTTTAAACAAAGGTCATATACCAAGCAAGAGTTCTAGCCTCTAAACAGGATGTACACCAAGCTAAACTTATACCAAAGTACCACTGCATATTTAATAGTCAACTGATATATTATTTGAAGGGAAGTAATTACTAAATACAAACGCAGCAAAATATTAGCCGATTTTCTTCCTTTTGACCTTCTAGAAGTGGATTTTTGTCACAGTGCTATAAACAGCAATAATATGCAATTTTTAGAAATCTATTTTTCTTTCAGCCCCAAAACTATCTACAAATTACTTTTTTGGGTAAAAATAATCATACCCACAAGTCTACACAAATATGCACTATATGCACTCACAGCTAGTACCAAAGCTGTCATACTGGGCACTGTCCAAAGACATCATGTCAACCAGAACGCATACAAACTAAGATAACGGCTTTCTCAAGGCAAGAAGGTTAAGCTCCATCACAAAACTAAAAGACATATTGGTTAGAGCATTTTATATTCTTCAAAGTAGTGACCTTCTAATTGCGAACACTTTATACCAGTCTCATTGCCAGTGGCCATAGCACCTCTGCTATGCATTTTTTGTAAAAGTAATGGAATGTTGTTTCACAAAAAATTCAGTTGTTATATCAGATCTGTGAGAAACAATCCTGTAATGCCTCCTTGATTCTGTGAGTGAACACTGCCCTATGAAATGGCATGACCCTGCATTTGAAATCTGCATCTGAAATATAACAATGCCCCTGCTCATATTTCTGTAATGCCACTAATAACAAGATACTGTGACATCTCATCTTCCTAATGCTGTGTTTACCACGCGACTAATAACAAAATATTGTGACATCTCATCTCCCTACTGCTGTGTTTACCAAGCGACTAATAACAAGATACTGTGACATCTCATCTCTCTAGTGTTGTGTTTAATATGTCACTAATAACAAGATACTGTGACATCTCATCTCCCTATTGCTGTGTTTACCAAGCCACTAACAACAAGATACTGTGACATATCACCTTCCTATTGCTGTGTTCACCAAGCCATTAATAACAAGATACTGTGACATATCACCTTCCTTTTGCTGTGTTTACCAAGCCACTAATTACAAGATACTGTGACATATCACCTTCCTATTGCTGTGTTCACCATGCCACTAATAACGAGATACTGTGACATATCACCTTCCTATTGCTGTGTTCACCAAACAAACTAACAACAAAATACTGTGACATATCACCTTCCTATTGCTGTGTTCACCAAGCCACTAACAACAAGATACTGTGACATATCACCTTCCTATTGCGTGTTTACAAAGCCACTAATAACAAGATACTGTGACATATCACCTTCCTATTGCTGTGTTCACCAAGCCACTAATAACAAGATACTATGACATCTCATCTCTCTGTTGTTTACCAAGCCACTAATAACAAGATACTATGACATCTCATCTCTCTGTTGTTTACCAAGCCACTGATAAGATACTATGACATCTCATCTCAGTGTTGTTTACCAAGCCACTAATAACAAGATACTATGACATCTCATCTCTGTGTTGTTTACCAAGCCACTAATAACAAGATACTATGACATCTCATCTCTCTGTTGTTTACCAAGCCACTAATAACAAGATACTATGACATCTCATCTCTCTGTTGTTTACCAAGCCACTGATAAGATACTATGACATCTCATCTCTGTGTTGTTTACCAAGCCACTAATAACAAGATACTATGACATCTCATCTCTGTGTTGTTTACCAAGCCACTAATAACAAGATACTATGACATCTCATCTCTCTGTTGTTTACCAAGCCACTAATAACAAGATACTATGACATCTCATCTCTCTGTTGTTTACCAAGCCACTAATAACAAGATACTATGACATCTCATCTCTCTGTTGTTTACCAAGCCACTAATAACAAGATACTATGACATCTCATTTCTGTGTTGTTTACCAAGCCACTAAGAACAAGATACTATGACATCTCACCTTTCTGTTGTTTACCAAGCCACTAATAAAATACTATGACATCTCATCTCTGTGTTGTTTACCAAGCCACTAATAATAAGATACTATGACATCTCATCTCTGTGTTGTTTACCAAGCCACTAATAACAAGATACTATGACATCTCACCTGCCTATTGCTGTAGTCATCATGGCCAAACCATTCACCTGACCAGCCAACTCCTGGCGAACAGAATTGTTGATCAACAGAGATGTTCCAGCAAAGCAGCAGTTTGTAGCAATTTTGTATGGTATCTGTACACCCAGCAGACATATCCACAACCACACGCGGCTGTTAATGATAAAAACAATTAATTTTTTGTCCTGCTGCGCCATTTTATGTTGATATGTCACACACGGGGCTTGCAGTTTATTCCTCCATATCATTCTATTCTGTGCAATCACTTCTATATCACAAATAGAATCCAGTCCAGCGCCTTTGGCTTCAACATTCACCTTAGCATTTCTCTTGGACACCCTTCTTTTGCCTGTAATAGCATCTTTTCTTTAACTAAAATGGCATCCTTTCTTTTACTGGAATGGCATCTTTTCTTTTACTGGAATGGCATCCTTTCTTTTACTGAAATGGCATCCTTTCTTTTACTGGAATGGCATCTTTTCTTTTACTGGAATGACATCCTTTCTTTTACTGGAATGACATCCTTTCTTTTACTGGAATGGCATCCATTCTTTTACTGGAATGGCATCTTTTCTTTTACTGGAATGACATCCATTCTTTTACTGGAATGGCATCTTTTCTTTTACTGGAATGACATCCATTCTTTTACTGGAATGGTATCCTTTCTTTTACTGGAATGACATCCATTCTTTTACTGGAATGACATCCATTCTTTTACTGGAATGGCATCCTTTCTTTTACTGGAATGGTATCCTTTCTTTTACTGGAATGGCATCTTTTCTTTTACTGGAATGGCATCCTTTCTTTTACTGGAATGGCATCTTTTCTTTTACTGGAATGGCATCTTTTCTTTTACTGGAATGACATCTTTTCTTTTACTGGAATGGCATCTTTTCTTTTACTGGAATGACATCCATTCTTTTACTGGAATGGTATCCTTTCTTTTACTGGAATGACATCCATTCTTTTACTGGAATGACATCCATTCTTTTACTGGAATGACATCCTTTCTTTTACTGGAATGGTATCCTTTCTTTTACTGGAATGGTATCCTTTCTTTTACTGGAATGGTATCCTTTCTTTTACTGGAATGGTATCCTTTCTTTTACTGGAATGGCATCTTTTCTTTTACTGGAATGGTATCCTTTCTTTTACTGGAATGGTATCCTTTCTTTTACTGGGATGGCATCCTTTCTTTTACTGGAATGGTATCCTTTCTTTTACTGGAATGGTATCCTTTCTTTTACTGGAATGGTATCCTTTCTTTTCCTGGAATGGCATCCTTTCTTTTACTGGAATGGTATCCTTTCTTTTCCTGGAATGGTATCCTTTCTTTTACTGGAATGGTATCCTTTCTTTTACTGGAATGGTATCCTTTCTTTTACTGGAATGGTATCCTTTCTTTTACTGGAATGGTATCCTTTCTTTTCCTGGAATGGTATCCTTTCTTTTACTGGAATGGTATCCTTTCTTTTACTGGAATGGTATCCTTTCTTTTCCTGGAATGGTATCCTTTCTTTTACTGGAATGGTATCCTTTCTTTTACTGGAATGGCATCCTTTCTTTTACTGGAATGGCATCCTTTCCTACAAGTTTCTAAAGCAAATATTTGTTCACCATGTGGGGGAGGGGAGGCTGGCCCATTCCTAACCTTTCTTTCTTTCTTTCTCATCCAGGCTGGGGACTGATAAACAAAAATTACTAACTTTTATATAAGAAAAAAGGTTTGAGTGTAGTAAAGCTGTGAGTTATGAGTCAGGTTATATTCATGGCACTCCAGACATGTCCACAGATTCTCAGATTTCTCCATCATATACAGGGTGCAGCATTTCTTCTTTCTTCTTCTTCTACTTCTTTGCGTCCGGTATTGTATGATACCAGGTCAGACCATCAGGCGGGCTGCCTCTATGAATGTCTGGCACTCCAGACAGGCCCAAAGTTACTCAGATTCCTGAGCTGTATTTAATGTTATTCATCTTCAAAGTTGGACAGCACATTTACTACACAGCCAGAAATACAACCAAACTCAGTAAAGTCAGTCAATGTCTTGGACTCACAAAACGGGCCTCACATCTTGAATACAATGTTTTGGAAATGTCCACCATGACAGACAAGGCATTGTTGCCATCTCACAGGTACACTTGCAGTGACATGACATAGAGTGTCCCACGTAACATTCGCAATCTCCTAACAGCGTTTTTTAGGCTGTTAATGTCAAGTAGGGTGTGAATGACAGTCTGAGATTTCACTTCTATTTTATTTTTTTATTTTTGTTAAGAGTCTGCTGCAGTGGGGTTCAGTGCACTGGAGGGCTACTGCATGTCACCAAACCAAGAGAGAAGTTTCCTGGGGAATGTTTACTGAAGACAGTTGGGATATACAGGTAGTGGTACCCTATTACTGAAACTAACAACATTTTGGGGGGAGGGGAGGGGGGTATTTGAAAAGAGCAGCCTAGATGTTTTAAAAGAGGTGGGGGCTTCAAGACAACTTATCACAAACATCAGAAAAAGACAGTCATCATTATGTGGTCATGTTATAAGAAGAAATGAACTGGAACATTTTGTGACCAATGGAGAGATTTATGGAAAAGAGATAGAAAAAGACAGTGCGAGAAGATTTCTTGACAGTCTTCTGTCATGTCATGGAGGGGGTGTCAACACATGAACTGATTCACACAGTCGCAGACTGTGGAGAGGTATGATCACCCACGCCAGTCGGCAAGGTAGAGAATATCAATGATATCTTCTGTAGGAAAGTGCATGAGACTGGGGATGTGGCGGGTGACCGAGTTTATTTCATGCATGCTGTGATGAGGCTGACCTTCTGCACTGGGCCTGCTACTAGATGATGATGATGACACACTTAATCACACACACAAATAAACCCTGTCTACTCACTTATTGAACAATCTGACCATCGGAATGCACTGACAACATATTAGTGATACCATGGCGGAAAACAGGAACACCTGCAAGACAAGACATTTTAATTACAGTGTAAAAATATAATCTACTTGTTCAGTTTTAAGACTTATTCAAAAGACTGAAACTGGATTAATGATAACATATTTTGAATGAACAATTTGTGAGAATAATATACTGTGAATAAACTTTTTGTGAACTGATTTTCAACAAAGTATTTATTTTTTCCGTTTGTCAGAGTGATGTAATTGTGATGTGCCTGTTTACATCATAGCTACAATATTTGCGCCTTTCGGCCGAGACATCTGACCTCATCAAGCATTTACTGACCGGGTTAATTTCCCAGATAGTTTTGTGGGGCATGAAGTAGCCATACTTGTGTGGTATTCTCTTTGTCCCCTTATCTACAAGCGTTGCCCTGGAGACCCATACAGGGTAACCGCATGTAGATTGGTCGGCCCTCAAGGGAAGGCAGGGACAGACGGGCTTCCAGTCAAAATGGACGCTAGGCGGGTCATTGTTTGAAGCTGAGGCAAATATTTTGCTTATGCCGGACGGTGGCTGATGCATTTTTGTTCCGTTTGTAGACTGGATATAGTTTTGTCGCCCAGCTTCTGAGTTGAATGCATGGCATGAATCTGTGAGCTGCAGATTTAATTTGGAATGTTTTTTCGACTGTGACCAACGTGGTGGTGTGAATTGTAGATTCAAAAAATGTTGCGATGCCTCTCGTCGCAATGTTGGTGGTGCCCGTATGTGATTAAAATTGATCGCGTGGGCAACTGCAGATCTGTTGGTGACTTCTGCTACCATCAATGATGAAGTGCATTTCTCATGTCGGACTGTTTGTGTTAGCACTTTGGATGGCTACCATATGCTTTTAATACGAGTGTGTGCTAGATATGCTGAGACAGCAGTCTGTCAATCTTTCCACAAGGGACGGTGATAAACATTCTGTGTTTTTCGTTGGCAGAGGAGCGGAGCAAAGATGGGGTGACAGTTTGCTATGAAGCTGAAACTAAGACTACCAGACTACCAGACCAGGACCAGGGGCATTGCCCGCCATCCAAAGAAGCTTCCATGTATGCAGAGCCAACACATGATGCTCTGGTCCTGGTTCACCCATCTGAGTTGAGTTGAGTCAAGAGTTGACATTACAGCACTTGGGGCATTCCCATGTGTGCTCTGTCCTCATCTTCAGCAGCCAGCGCAGAGTTCCAATACTGAGGTTACCAGTCACAATCTTGTTATATGTCCGTCTTGTTTTCCTATGAATGTAGTGAGCCAGCCAGACCCTCTGGTTACACCCAGGTGCCTCATTCTCTCCAGGCCAAAATCTTGTTTCTCTACCGATTCTGTTTCTTGTTCCCAAAAGGCCTTGGCTCACCCAAAACAGAACTACTTTATTTCTTACAGTGTATCCTCAGCTGCCCTATCTAACCAATCTGCAAAGTCTTTGAAAAGAACAGTCAATGGAGAATTTTACATTTAAAAAAAAACTGAACAGGCTTAGGATGTTTAATTTTGCTCACTACAGAAACAGAAAAACACCATCACCTTACAAGGGGTTGAACCCGAGTCTCCCACATAAGAGCCAGAAATATTATGAAATATACTGTCTGTGTGATTACTCAAATTCACAACAGAAAAACAGTTTTGTATTTAGATAGTGTTAAAAAAAATTCCCTAGCTCAATGATATGTAGAAATGATTATAAGACATGGATAATGTCCTTTGACTGAAAGAGTTAAATTGTCCAATACAATATTTGTGCTTTTAATAAAATCTGACATGGAAAAACACATTACTGTCTTCAGATAAAGCGTTAAAAAAATTCTACAACTCAAAGTTTTACAGAAATTATTTTGAGTAATAGATGGAATCTGCAAATTTACCACATACCTTCCTAATTCCCATTTTGGAAACCAGAAATGGGTAGATCTTCACTTGGAGCAACAGCAAAGGAAGAAAGATGGCTCCAAGAGCAAGGCCAATCTCGTTAGTACTAAAACCTAGACCACCTGAAGAGGAAATAGAAACATTGATTGTTTATCAGGTAATCGCTGCTCCAACTTCGTAGCGAAGGGTCTTCCCATAGATGCTCCATTCCTGGGTGCTTTATTAATATCCTACCCTAAACAGGGGAAATCCACAGGTCATGGCTCAGTCTAATATTTCAGGGAGTGGTAGATAGGCTGCATGCAGTCCTGGGACTTAGGCTGCATGCATTCGTGGTACCTAGGCTGCACTCTCTCATGGGGTGTAGTTGGGTTGGGGTTAGGGCTAGTTCTAGATGTTTTGGGGTCGTTAAAAGCATCAGAAAGCCGGGAAACCCAGCCTTACCACACTCTAAAATGTTGGACTGTCCTGTGACGCCATCTGGGGTAAGATATTAATTTTTAAAAACCTGTGCCAACACAACTTGTGCATAATGTCCATCACTGTCCCTTATAAAACAAAATGGACACACAGACTGCAGTATCAGCAGAGCCAATAGCATACACACGAATTACATGGGTAAGGCAGCCGTCAGAGGTGCCAACACAAACAGTCCGACACTAGGAATGCAGTTCATCAATGGAAGCCGCAGTTACAACAAATCAATAGTTGCATATGCAATTAATCACTATTAATAATTTTTAAAAAACTGCATTCTCCTCCCAAAGAAGGGGGGAGGGGGGGAAAGGAAACACAGAAACTGTATCCTCCAGATTGCACACAGAATCCACAACACACACACACACACAAAACTGCACAGCCCACAAAACAGAAGTACAGAAAAGTGAAAACTACACAGCACAAAACTGCATGGCAAATAAAATGCCAGATCACTTCACTGTACACTTCATCTGCCACCACTTGAAATATTAGACTGTCCCATGAACTGTGGATTTCCTGTTCGGGGTAGAATATTTGGAAAGAACCAAAATTTTTATCATATGCTGACTTAGGTTGCCTAGTTGTCGTTTTTTTTTTTTTTTAAATTACAAAATGAAACAAAAAACAGTTTTGTAATATTTCCCAGCTATGAATACTGTATGTAAAAATCTTATGCTCTCATACATGCTATGCATTTTATGTCTTTAATTCTTCTAACTGCAACTTACCATAGTTTTTTCTAGTAGAAGCAAAAACCGGGAAGATGTCTTCAATGGCTATAGTTATCATTGAGAACACAGTATACATCATGACAGTGGCCCAAACATCAGACAGACTGCAATGTTAGACAACATATATATATCCTGTTAAATGCTGCTCTAAGATAAAAGGTTGCAGAGGTTATGGAAATATGTGTGTGCAATAAACATCAATCAATCAATCAATCAATCAATCCGGTGATGGTTTTACAATGAAGGTTGCCTGCAATGGATTTCAAAAACACTTGTCTATTGTCTTGGTAGTACACTCTCTCAGATGGCTGTTCATCCATCTCAGGATGTTATCTTCCCACTTGCATCACTGTCTACCTTTTGTTCTGTTGCCTTTGACTTTTCCCTCCAGTATGATTTTTAAAAGAATGTTTATCTTTTAATGTGGCAAAAATATTTAAACTGTCTATTTTTTATTTTTTTTATTTCAGTAACTCTCTTTTTATGTACACACTCTCCAGAACCTGCGTATGTTACTGTTTCTGTTTTCATAAAATACAACCTATTCTTCTGTATATCCTTATGTCCTGATATTCAATTCGATTGTCTAATTGCCTATTCATTGTCCAGGTTTCCGCACCATACTGAATGGTTGAGTATACAAAAGATTTAACAATTCTCCTTTTTAATATTAGGTTTATCTCTCCAGCTGTCATAACTTGTGCACCTTATTGAAGTCAGTTTTAGACACATGTATATCAACACTAGTGAAATAAATCAATACAATCATATATACACATGTACCAGTTTGAGACATTGTAGAGTCCCACTGAAGACCATTAACAATAAAGGCAAGATATGAAGACATAAGTTACACTCTTTATTAGAAAAAAAAAACCTAAAAAAAAGTACATTCAAAAAGAAAAAATATTTTAAAAAAGGGGAATATTTTGTTAATTATATTATTCTTAAAGACCGGATTATGATTCTTAAAGACCGGATTATGCGGATGAAATCAGAGTGCCTGGGGGTTCGTAGCGAAAGCCAATGGAAAATCTTTAGTGCAAGACAGCCTGGCATATGACACCACAACATCTAGCATGAGGATTGAGGTGGTGGTGGTAGCTGCAGCTCTCCGGTGGCTAGAGAACAAGATGCATATACATGTCGTAATTGTAACAGACTCTGAAAGCATGCTAAGAAAAAGGTGAAGACAAGGATGCTTCAAGCAGAGTGGCAAGCTTCATCGGAAAGGTCACAGGTAGTGAGCATACTGTAGATCTTTTCTCCAGGCTGTTCCGGCGTAGTGGGTAATGAACAGGCAGACAGATTGGATGGATCTGCACCACTGGGCGGTGAATTCATATATGACAAGGCAGATGTGGTCAAGGCCCTTTGGGAACAAGCAATGGAATCAGCAGAGATAGAAGATTACTATGGCCTGGAGAATGAGGCATCTGGGTGTAACCAGAGGGTCTGGCCTGCTCACTACACTCAGAAAAAAGGCAAGGTGGACATATAACCAGATTGTTACCAGTACCATCAGTATTGGAACTCTGCGCTGACTTCTAAAGATGAGGCCGGAGCATGCATGGGAATGCCCTAAGTGCTGTGATGTTAATTCTTGACTGGACTCAACTAAATCAGAAGTATATAGTTCGTTTTTGGTTTTTAATCAAGGGTTGTATGAGCCTGTGTTCTTACAGCTAATTATGTGTTCTCTGTTAACGCCTAGTTGAATGTTAAACTAAGAACTAACATCATAGCACTCGGGATACTCCCATAAGTGCTCCATTCCCCCATCTTCGACAGCAAGTGAAGAGTTCCAATTTTGATGGTACCAGTAACTGTCTGACTGTATATCTGTCTTGCCCTTCCCTTGGGTTTTAAGCATCGACCAGAGTCCCTGATAGCTCCCCGCAAGGCCATTTTCCTCAGTCGGTAATGATCTATTTGTGCCTCCGCACTGTTCACTCGCTAAACAAAGGACCCTCACAACATCTAGCTTGTCATACATCAATTCACCACCAAGTGGTGCAGAACCAGCCAGTCTTTCTGCATGCTCGTTTCCCATCACACCAGCATAACCTGGAGATAATATGCTTATTGTTGGGCAGTGTATACCAAACCTGACATCCCACTTGTGCAATTAGAGACAGTCTGTGGTAAATATGGCATAGTTGCAATAACCGAGTACCCACCAACATACAGATAAAAGGGAAACAAACTAGAAGAAGTTGAAACCTTTTAATATCTTGGTTCCCACATATGCAACGATGATATGGCAACAGCTGCAATGTTGTAGCTGAATACGATGTGCACGAGCAAAATCAGCATCGCAGTCAAGGTCAGTATTTAAAAATCACTGGTGTTGTCTATTTTCTTACACGGGTGTGAGAGTTGGACTCTCACTGTGGAAATGGAAAGGAGGATTCAGGCTTTTGAATGTAAATGCTACAGACGTATTTTACAAATTAGTTATTTAGAACATAAAACTAATAAATATGTCAGAGACAAAATATACAAATTTGCGGGACATCAGGAGCCTCTCTTGGCAGTGCTGAAACATCGCAAGCTAGCTTGGTCTGGACACGTGGTGAGACATGATTCAATTGCAAAGACTGTACTTCAAATAACACTGGGGGGGGGGGGGGGGGGGGGGGGGGGGGGGTGGGGGGGGGGTGGTAGTCGAAGAAGGAGTGCAAATAAGAACCTTCTTAGAATAGGGAACCTGGAATCCACACAGGAAGACAACCACTAAAACAGAAAGTCCATCAATGTCTGGAAATAAGATAATCTTGTGAAATGTGTCCATTAGGGAATAACAATACTTAAAATCTTTTTAAAATAAGGATAAAAAATTATCTGAAATTTTCCAAATGGGAAATATGACTAGTGACAATAATTCTGTAGCCAATGCTCATTTCAATAATATAAGCGGAATGTGTTGTAATAGTAAAGTCAGTAAAGGACCTCTCTCCTCCCCCCCCCCCCCCATCCCCCAACCCCGCCCCTTTCCTTTTTAACTTAAACACAGGTATATACCAGACATATATTTAAAGACCAGTCAACCATCCTTGGGGGTGATGTAGTCAACATCCTGCTGGCCGCCTCAACATTTTCGCCATGGTAATGCTACCCAAAAAATGAGTCACTACCTCGTAGAAATTCTTGAAAAACATCCTTTAAGAACAATGCTTTTACACGGTCACTAATATTTTTTTTAAAAACAATTTATTCATGTACATTAAAAAAAACATTTTCTGCAACCAATATATACATATATATTTTTTTTTTAAGTTAGCTATGTGCTCTTTTCAGGACTTCAGCAATTCTTCTGTGTTTGGATTATCTGTGATTTCACTTGGCAATGTTACATTCAGTAATTTTTAAAGATATATAAAAGGAGCAATCAATAAACATGAAGAGAGGGGAGCATTAAAGAGCATACATTGTCCAGAGCCTAAAAACAATATTTGTATTGTTTGACTCATGACATGACTCCATGATCTCTATTACTGAGGGTTCCAGGAAAATTTGATGCCAACTTTAGGAACCCTAGTCATGCTATTTTGATCTAATAAATATTCAAACCCTGACCTCAAAAACCTTTGCGCAGGTGCCAATAGAATTAATAATATGTCTCATAAACAGGTCGCTACAGACAAATAGGAAAAGTGACATTCATAAGGGGAAGAGTCGGATTTGTGGCCTCCTGAGGCAAGAGGGTTAACATCCCAAAACATCACCTGGCACTTACTTTAGACTGGAATAACTTAGCAGCAGAGGTTAATTTTGAAAAAAGAAAACACTCTGCCTCGATGCGGATTCAAACCTTCAGCCTACCATGCGAGCATCTAACACCTACATTACTACAGCTCCCTGAAATAAATTTTTAAAAATGAATCAACCATTCAACGATACATACCGTAATAGCTTGAATAAACTGTACTTTCTGAAGCTCCCAGAACAGCAAAGACTGTCCACACAAGTACAGATCCTTTCACTTTCCTCTTCACTTTTGGCATCCGTGATGGAATGTTTGTTATCAATAATTTTCTGATCTTCTATACTGTCAACTAACTTCTGATTTTTATCATTCATTTCTATATTATCAACCACACTGCAGTTGTGATCTATGAGAGGTATATTTGAATTCACTAAGTCAATATTCAGCTCATTCAAATTATTTTGATTTTGCTCATTTTTTATATCATCACATATACTCTTTTCTGTAATTCCAAACTCTTTATGTGATAAATCTAAGGAATTAGCACTACCGATCTGAGCTGAATTTTCAGCAATTATATGGATGTCCGTTCCAGGCTGACACTTTTCACTGACATTAGACAGTGAATTAGACACTTCAGAATAGTCTAAAAGTGCCGAGCTGCTGTTTATATCAGGCAGAGACTGTGTCCCATGAGCTGGTGGAAATTTGTTTGCTGGTGCATTTTTTTTTACTGTTTCCATGGCCAAGAATGATGCAGACTCTGCCTCTGCATGGACAGAATGCAGTGACTGACAAATCTGAAGAAGAGAACTCTGACTTTTTCTGCAGGTGTCTCCTAACAAAGGATGGTGGCTTTCTTTTCCAGCATTATCACTGTCATTGTGTTCGACTTCTAAAACTGTGAATTCCTGTTTAGTCCTGCAGGATAAGATAACATAAATTAGTCATAATGGAGTCTGCTTAAGAAAAAAAGAAAAAAAAGAAAACCTGTTGGAGAAATCTAAAGGTAAGTATGCTGAAGACAACTGACAGTAAATGTTGGAGAAAACTTTAAGTAAATCTACTGGGGGAAGATAGTTTTAAAGGATGTGTTGGTAAAGAATTAATGGTAAGTGTTGGAGGAAATTAATGGTAAATGTTGGAGAAACTAATGGTAAGCGTTGAATAAAATTTAATAGTAAGTGTTGTGAAAAAACCATCAGTAAATGTTGGAGAATACCGGTAAGTCTGTAGGTGAAAACTAATTTAGGTGGTAAAAGCAAGCGAATGGTAAATGTTGGTGAAAACTAATGGTGAGTGTTGGAAAAACTAACTGTAAGTGTTGGAGAAAAACTAACAGTAAATGTTGAAGAATACTGGTGAGTGTTGAAGAAAACATTTGTGAAAACTAATAATAAGTGCTGGAGACAACTAACTGTACATCTTAGTGAAAACTAAAGGTAAATTTGATGGTGAAAAATACTGAATATGATTAGAAAAAAAGACTAACGGTGAATGCACTAATGTATATGCATATTGTACGTGTAGAAATGTAATTTAAAAAAAATAATAATAACAAATTATGTAACATAACGGTACATTTTATTACCTAATGTCCAGAACTCATCTTCACTGACCTACTGAGTGAATTCTTCATCTTCTTTGCATTCACCAGTTGAAACTCCAGTTGAAAGTTCTGGTTGTTCACCCACTTCTGGACTTTGGTATTTTTTCCCAGAACTCGAGTTTCGCAGGCACATCCCCTTAACAGATCTGGCTTATTTATATGCAGACTGTTGGTTTCTTACCTCTCAGGCAGATACACTCTGACGAATGTGTTTATAATAATGTGTCATGTCTCACCTCTCTGATGACTTTGCAACAAATTTTTCATCAAATACAATGAAGATAATCAGCAGAAATGTAATTATAACAAAGTTTCATGACAGTATTCCCAAGTATAAGAGCACTTATTTTCCAAATATATAGAGTATAAAAATAGAGTGCGTCTTACAGATTTTTACCAAATGATGTTAGAAAATATCTCATACACAGCCTCATTTGGGAATACCGGTTCAGGGGTGACATAAAATAGGGGAGGGGGGGGGGGGGAACTATAAAATTAAAAGTTCTTTTTTGCTGAAATAGTTTTTGAGCTTGTCTTAGTGCTCATTGTTTCGCACTTGTTACATTAGGAATTCCTGTATCCACTAAGATTCCACAACTTGATGTCAGCCTTAACAAACCCTTCAAAGTTGCCATGAGAGGCAAATGAAACCAATGAATGAAGTTTTCCGGGGATAATCTGACACCAGCAGGTTGTGTGAAGAAACCAGCTACAGGAAAAGTTTGTAACTGGGTGAAAAGATACTGGGATAATGTGAAGATTAAGATCACCGTCAAGACATTCAAGATGGCATTTCAAATGCCACAGTAGGAACGGAGTACGATGCAGTAAATGAAGAGAGTGATTTGCTATTAGACACAGACAAGGACAAGCTAAAGAACTATCATATGGATGAGATCCCTGTGTGGGTTTCGAAGGCCCCATGGTGGGGGAAATCAAGAATAGACACAATGCCTGCCCAAAAGCATGTCTTAAGAGTCGACTAATTGGGAGCTTCCTTCAAAGTTGGAGCACATCTGCCTGAGAGACAAGAAACCAACAGTCTGCATGCAAATGAGTTAGACCTGTAAAACAGATGTGCATGCAACACTCAGTTTCTAAAACAGAACTAGAGTCCAGAAATGAACGAACGACCAGAACTTTCCACCAGAGTTTTCAGCCGGTGAACGTGAAGAAGAAGAAGATATGGATGAGAGTTTTGGCAATGATGAGTTTTTCAAATTCACTAATGAATAAAACATGAGTTCAATAACTTTATGTAATCATATAATTTTTTTTCCCAAACTTCCAGTCACAAAATCAAAGTGCGTTTTATACATGTGATTATCTGATACTTGGGGAAAGAGGTACCTCACCTGGAGAAATAGGTACCACTGGGATGACTTTACAACAAATGTTTTCTCAAATTTGAAGACAATCTTCTTCTTCACATTAACAGGCTGTAAACTCCAACGGAAAGTTCTAGCTTCTCGTCCACTTTTGGACTTTAGTCTTTACACCAGAACCCAAATGTTACGTGCACATCAGTTTTACAGATCTGGCTTATTTGTTTTCACACTGCTGGTTCCTAGCCTCTACGGCAGATGTACTCTGACTTAAAGGGAACTCCTAATTAACTGACTCTTAGGACATGCTTGATGGGGAGGTAGTGAATCTATTCTTGTTCTCCCCACAATGGGGCCCAGCAACCCACATAGGGAGAAGAAGATAATCAACAGAAATGTAATTATAGCATAAACTGTCATATCTTACCTCTTTGATGACTTGACAACAAATGTTTCATCAAACTTGAAGAAGATAACGAAGAAAATGACAAAACAGCTCACAAATGGGAATAATGATGGTAAGAGATACGGGTACTGCCCAAATAGACCATCCTTGTTGAAAACATCTGGCCACTTCACTGCCGGAGAAGCTAACACACCTGGATACAAAGGGAAAAACTATACTTAAAAAGAAACACAAGCAATAACTTGTGGGAGCACTGAGGGTGGGTGAAGAGAAATATACCACACACACTACTAGAACAGAAAAAGTAAGGGCGGGGGTTGGTCAAGCTGTTTGCCTTGCGCTCTGAAGGTCATGAGTTCGTTTCATGGCTGTGCCCTTCATTTCACTAGTGCAATTTTTACGGAAATCTCTGGGGATCGTCACAGCAGCTACAGAGTGCTCTGTGCAGCATTCTGGGAGGCAGCCAGCTATTCTGAGGACAGAGACCAAGCCACATGAGAGTAAACCTGGTCCAATGAAGTCGATTCTTTTGACTTTAACCTTTAACCATTAAAAAGTAAGGGCATGTGGAGGCTGTAGGTGCAGTCATGAAGTATAACCATCAGCTCTATTTTTTCTAGTTATTCTTTCTTTGACTTTCAACAGTAAAGTTTCCACGTGCGGTTTGGAGTTCTATTTTAGAGAGAGATAATTGAACTACTACCTCTCAAAAAGCAGCTCAGAGAAGGCAGCTAATTTAGGATTTGCTTAAATCAAAATGTGCTGCGTCTTCTTCACCTCCTGGTCCATTGGAACCTGTTAGTTCTCTCCCAAATCTCTACATTAGCGATTCTATCAAACCATCATCCCCGTGTGGGTTACAGGGCCTTCTTATAGAGAAAACAAGAATAGACCCACTGCCTACTCAAAAGCATGCCGTAAGAGTCAACTAATTGGCAGCTTCTTTCGAAGTCGGAGTGCATCTGCCTGAGAGGCAAGGAACCAACAGTGTGCATACAAATGAGTCAGATCTGTCAAACGGGTGCACACGCAACACTCAGGTTCTGAAACAGGACTGCAGTCCAGAAGCAGACGAATAACCAGAACTTTCCACTGGAGTTTACAGCTGGTGAATGTGAAGAAGAAGAAGAAACCATTTAATTCCCTCTATTCTGCAAAGGCACCCAGTTAATGAATGTTTGTAGTTTATAAGTAATTGTTTTTGTTTTTATCTATGTGGTCAGTTACATTATGACATTTACTTTAGATTATAGAGTCACTGTTATATATTGTTAGAGTGTTGATAGGTGAGGAAAATACAAATACAGACAGAAGAACAACAGGGGAGAAAAACGCTGATAAAAGAGGCCAAAAGTGCTGGACTGGATTCCATCCAAGATATCGAAGGGGTTGCTCAGAGAAGAATGGAATGAACGAGCAGACTGTGAGCCCTGAGTGACATACAATGCCATAATAAAGACAATGATGATGGTGTCGAATAAACTTACCTCCAACAGTTGGGCCAACAATCATTCCCATTCCCCAGGATACGGACAACATAGACATGCTCAGTGCTTGATTGGAGTTATCTGATATATCATACAGGATAGTTTTGGCCGTGCCGACCGTGCCTATGAAGATTTAATAAGGTATTTGGTTACATCAGAAAAACATAAAGCTTGTTAACAAAATTTATCATCATAAAGCAAAATATAGGTCTAGCCCTATATACCCAATACGCCTGAAAGGCGTGGTAAAAGGCCCTTTACTATCATATAGCAGGCCCTTTGCGGAACGATGTAATCATCACGGTCTGCATGAAAGAAACTCTGTCTCTTGCCAGCTCTCCTGACTCGTGCACTTTCCTACTCAAGGTGTCACTCTATCCTGTGCACATATTAGTGTTGGTCGGCCCCTGCCCCTCTTTCCTGGTACCATGCCTTCTGCTTTTTGTTTTCCAAAGCCATGTGACGCTTGATATGGCCAAAATATTTCAGTTAAAAAGAGAAGATGCTAGTTACTAGCCAATCTTTCTTGATTTTCCGATTTTTCAGGATGCCAATATTTCTTATTCTCTTTGTCCAGGGATTATGAGAATCCTTCTATAGAACCTCAGCTCAAAAGCTCCTACATTTTAATTAAGGTCTGCAAGACAGTCCATTATGCATATCCATATGTTTCAACAGGGAAAATGCATGCTCTCAAAATTTGGACTTTCCTTTCCTAGTTAGTTCTTAATCACAGTCTTCTAGTGCTGTGAAAAAGTGAATTATCATAATCATCGTGTAGCAGGTCCTTTGCAGAACGTCACTCTCATCACGGTCTGCCTGAAAGAAACTTGGTGAAAAAGTGTATATAAATAATAATAATCCCTCTCTTTGATCCGAGGCTATAGAAGAACAAAGAACAGGAACAACAATGTCATAGGAGGCAACTAACTGGGAAGCTTTCTTTAAAGCCAGAGAGCATCTGCCTGGGGAGGCAAGGAGCCAACAGTCTACATACAAATACGCCAGATCTGTAAAATGGATGTGCATGGAAAATTCAAGTTCTGCATTCAAAACCAAAATTTATGAGTGGACAAACAACCAGAACTTTCCCCCGGAATTTACAGCCAGTGAATGCCAAAAGGAGAAGAAGAAATGATAATAAAACTGTATTGATTTTACAATGGAGGTTTGATGCCATTCATACACAGCTATCCACGAGAAAACTGGTGAGGTACTACTCTATTTCACGGTGAGACTTTTGTACCACTGTCTGCAAGTCATGAGAACCGTCTTCTCCTAAACTACCCACTTCCGAATTGAACCCAGGTAAATGTCTAGCCTTGTGAAATGATTTCACTAACTCTAGGCCACAGAACATAGATAAAAACTAAAACAGTTTCTAATAAACTACAAACATTCATTAACTGGTGCCTCTGTAGAATAGATGGCATTAAATACTGTAAAACCAGGTGAAAAAAGAAGGGACATGTCTTGCCAGGGTTATGAAAAGAGGATATTTTACATATTGTATTTCTGTCACAAATAAGACGCTACCATGTACACAACAACCCCTATTTTTAAGTTCAAATTTATGAAAGAAATAAACACATTCTGTCAAAAAGATGACCACCCAATCTTTACCTTTAAAATGATTTGAGACAACAGATCATCTTGTGTACTTTCAGTCAACTCTCATGCAGATGATACTCCATGCCATGATGTCAAACTTTTCAGCATCTGTTCTCTCCATATACCTCTGCCTTCTTAACGATAGTTTACTGCTAACAGCATCACACACAAATTTGAAGATGATTTACCATTAACAGCACTACACACAAATTTAAAGACAACTTACCATTAACAGCCCCACACAAATAACCAAAGACAACTTACCATTAACAGCACCACACAAATAACCAAAGACAACTTATACAATTAACAGCTCCACACAAATAACCAAAGACAACTTACCATTAACAGCCCCACACAATTAACCAAAGACAACTTACCATAAACAGCCCCACACAAATAACCAAAGACAACTTACCATTAACAGCCCCACAAAAATAACCAAAGGCAACTTACCAGTAACAGCCCTACATAAATATCCAAAGACAACTTACCATTAACAGCCCCACACAATTAACCAAAGACAACTTACCATTAACAGCCCCACACAATTAACCAAAGACAACTTACCATTAACAGCCCCACATAAATAACCAAAGACAACTTACCATTAACAGCCCCACATAAATAACCAAAGACAACTTACCATTAACAGCCCCACATAAATAACCAAAGACAACTTACCATTAACAGCCCCACAAAAATAACCAAAGACAACTTACCATTAACAGCCCCACACAATTAACCAAAGACAACTTACCATTAACAGCCCCACACAATTAACCAAAGACAACTTACCATTAACAGCCCCACATAAATAACCAAAGACAACTTACCATTAACAGCCCCACAAAAATAACCAAAGACAACTTACCATTAACAGCCCCACATAAATATCCAAAGACAACTTACCATTAACAGCCCCACACAATTAACCAAAGACAACTTACCATTAACAGCCCCACACAATTAACCAAAGACAACTTACCATTAACAGCCCCACACAATTAACCAAAGACAACTATTAACAGCCCCACATAAATTAACAGCTCCACACAAATAACCAAAGACAACTTACCATTAACAGCCCCACACAAATATCCAAAGACAACTTATACCATTAACAGCCCCACACAAATAACCAAAGACAACTTACCATTAACAGCCCCACACAAATATCCAAAGACAACTTACCATTAAACAGACCCACATAAATAACCAAAGACAACTTACCATTAACAGCACCACACAAGAAGCGAAAAACAACAGCCATGATCAGATTGTCTGCAAATCCAAACAGTCCGGCAAAAATTCCATTAAAGGCAATTGTAATAAGTAGAACAAGCTTGCGGCCCTGGCGATCTGCCAGCCATCCCCAGAAAATACTGAAAGAAGACAATCACAGCAGTATTAGTTCAGTTTATTACAGATGATCATAACTGCAGTGCAGACATTTCCATAAATGCTCACATCTCCGTAGACATTTCCAAAGATGATCTGATCCTCGCAGACATTTCCATAGCTGCTGTGTCTGCAGAAATTTCCACAGATGTCGCTGCAGAAATTTCCACAGATGTTGACTCTGCAGACATTTCCACAGATGTTGTCGCTGCAGACATTTCCACAGATGTTGTCGCTGCAGACATTTCCACAGATGTTGTCGCTGCAGACATTTCCACATATACTGTCTCTGCAGACATTTCCACAGTGGTCTCTGCAAACATTTCCATAGATGTTGTCTCTGCAGACATTTCCACAGATGTTGTCACTGCAGACATTTCCACAGATGTTGTCACTGCAGACATTTCCATGGTTGTCTCTGCAGACATTCCCACTGTTGTCTCTGCAGACATTTCCACGGTTGTCTCTGCAGACATTTCCACGGTTGTCTCTGCAGACATTTCCACAGTTGTCTCTGCAGACATTTCCACAGATGTTGTCTCTGCAGACATTTCCACAGATGTTGTCTCTGCAGACATTTCCACAGATGTTGTCTCTGTAGACATTTCCACAGATGTTGTCTCTGCAGACATTTTCACAGATGTTGTCACTGCAGACATTTCCACGGTTGTCCCTGCAGACATTTTCACAGATATTGTCTCTGCAGACATTTTCACAGATGTTGTCTCTGCAGAGATTTCCACAGATGTTGTCGCTGCAGACATTTCCATATATGTTGTCTCTGCAGACATTTCTACAGATGTTGTCTCTGCAGAGATTTCTACAGATGTTGTCGCTGCAGACATTTCCATAGATGTTGTCTCTGCAGACATTTATACAGTTGTCTCTGCAGACATTTCCACAGATGTTGTCTCTGCAGACATTTCCACAGATGTTGTCTCTGCAGACTTTCCACAGATGTTGTCTCTGCAGACATTTCCACAGATGTTGTCTCTGCAGACATTTCCACAGATGTTGTCTCTGCATACATTTCCACAGATGTTGTCTCTGCATACATTTCCACAGATGTTGTCTCTGCAGACATTTCCACAGATGTTGTCTCTGTAGACATTTCCACAGATGTTGTCTCTGCAGACATTTCCACTGATGTTGCCTCTGCAGACATTTCCACAGATGTTGTCTCTGCAGACATTTCCACTGATGGTCTGATAACTGAAGACATTTCCATCAATGGTGTGATATCTGGAGATATTTCCATAGATGCTATGTGCCAGTTAGGTGTTAAGTGGTAAACCTCTTCATGGACTTGGTCGATAGCGCTTGTCTGGTTATTCTAAACTTCAGCGCAAACATGTTCTCCCAATGTGGGTTCTGGGGTCCCAATGTGGATTCTGGGGTTCCAGTATAGGTTTTGGAGCCCCACTGTAGGGAAAACAAGAGCAGACCCACTGCCTCCCGAAAAAGTATTTTGTAGGAGTCGACTATTCAGGGTATCCTTCGAAGTCAGAGTGCATCTCTAAGAGGTAAGGAACCAACAGTTCGCATAAGTCAAATCTGTAAAAGAGATGTGCACGCAACACTCAGGTTCTGGAACAAGACTAAAGACCAGAAGTGGATGAACAACCAGAACTTTTAACCAGATTTACAGCTGGTGAATGCAAAGAAGAAAAAGAAGAAAGAAGAAAATGTACAAACATATACACATCTCTCATCTACCTGTCCTCAAGGAACTGTACAAACATATACACATCTCTCATCTACCTGTCCTCAAGGAACAAAGTCTTATGTACCTCTCATTTTAGGTTGTAGGCTCCAGTAAACAAAGCCTCACCAAAATTGTCCTCTAGTTAGGACCTAGCAACAAGTGCTAGCTGCCACCTCCCTAGACCCTGTCACCTAGGTGCTGTGGGCTCCTTGTACCCCAGCTCAAAGCAACACTAGAATTACAGTTCATTGTCAAGGAGAACACCAGTTAGAACAAATCAGCAGTTGCACAAATAATACTGCATAGAGCACTAGAATTTTTCTGGGAAAAGCCACACCAATTTTGGCATTTAAGAAGATGGATTTACAGTTATACAACCATTATATCACTTTTTATAAATGATACATAACTTCCAGCGTAGTATCACCAAAACAGGCATTAAAATAGGAAATAAAAGGATTGAGAAAGCAAGGACATCCAAAAGAAACCCCAAAATGAAGTTCGATAAGAGAGGCGAAAGGTGCTGGACTAGATTTTATCCATGATACTGATGGGACTGCAAAGGATAGAATGGAAAGAAGGAACAGACTGCGAGCTCCATGTGACATATAATGCACAAGAGGATAATAGTGATGACATACCTTCCTACAATTCTCCCAGCAAATACAGAAGAGGCCACGATACCAACATATGTACCTTTGTTAGACTCACTGTATCCTAATGTCTAAAAAGAAAACAAAGTTTGTAAGAGTTTAACTCTTTTGGTACCACAGGATACTTAAATTAGTTATAAATCAACACATTATGTGCTTAAATATTTTAGCATTTTTATTCTTCTTCTTCACCTGCGATAAATTCTGGCGGACAGTTCCGGGTGTTTGTCTACCTTTGGACTTTGGTCTTGTTCCAGAACCTGTGTGTTGCAGACAAGTCTGTTTCAAATATCTGGTTTATCTGTATGCAGACTCTTGGTTCCTTGCCTCTCAGGTAGATGTACTCTGACTTGGAAAGATGCCCCCCCCCCCCCCCCCAATTAGTAGACTCCTATGACATGCTTATTGGGCAGGGAGTGGGTCCATTCTTGTTTTCCCCCATCATGCAGTTCTGGAACCTACACAGGGCATTTTTTTCAATTCTTAATAACAGTGCATTTATTTCCATGGAAACAAGCCCACTTTTAGCTTTAAAATTTTATAATTAGGAAAGATCATGAAACCTTGAACATCTCATGATAAAGAACCAAACCAAATGTACAGTTAATTTATCTCAGTGAGTTTCTAAATTCAGCATCTGTTTCTCACCATGTAGGAGTTAATGCCTCATGACTCAGGTATTTCTTCCACTTTCTCCTTCCCTTCATTTTCTCCTCCAGCTGTTACTACTACTTCTCTTTCTGCAGTTACTTCGTCAAAGTTTTGAAAAGAGAAAAAAAAAAGGGGGGGGGGGAGGGGGGCGGATAAGCTGTGCTGAATAAGCTGATCTTCATTCTTTCATGTCACTTATAATTTGGATAAGACTACCAAAAGTCTGCCATTTATAAAAAATGGTTGAAAAAATATCAAACAGGTTGATAAATAACCCAATTATGGCAGTTTGAAAATGTTGCATATATAGTTAGGTTAAAAAAAAAAAAGTTGCACTGCTAAATAAACAGTTGCACTGCCATGAAAATGAAATAAATTAATTGAAATTACTTTCCAATTGAATTTAACAAGAAATATAGTTTTTTGTGCAGAAATTAATAAACTTTCATGTGATGTTTAAAAAAAAAAGTTACAATTCCAAAATTGTGAGTAAAATAGTCAGTTTGGGGGTTTCACCAGTCCTTCAGGTTGTTTTTAATGCTGTCATTCCATTATTTGTGCTGTCTTCCCTTTTCTCTATGTTAATTATCTTGATTTAGTGCAGCTTTTTGTGGCAGCTATCACAAGAGCTTACTCATCAGATGACCAAACCATCTCAGGGGTTGCTCTTTAATGAACTATGACTGGCTGCAGTATTAGTCTTCTTCTGTTATGTTGTTGTTGTTTCCAGACGATAAGTGTTTAATTGTGCAAGGAGGAGCCATCAGACTCAGAGCCCATGGCGATGGTGAGTGTGACTAGCAAGACCCGCCCACGTAAAGAAGTCTCAATTAACTCTCTGAGTCCCAGGGGTTTTAGCATCAGAGGCCCAAGAGGTAGTCAAAAGAGATGTAAAATCTGCACATCTTGCGTTCATTGGGCCTCTAGGTAGGAACCTATGAACGTATGATGCGTTCCTTGGGACTCAGAAAGTTAAGGCCAGGGATGAAGTTCCTCCTCTCCTTAGAATAAAGCCTTGGCAGTATTTCGAAGACCATGTTTTGAACATGCATTATGATCTCTTACTCTGCCTGCATTGTTGACCACAGAAAAAGTAACACCAGCACGCTTGGAACAGAGCAGGCTGCAGAAGATGCAGGATCAGAAGAGCAGTGCTCTATCTGACCTCCTATCTGCACCACAGATAACACAAAGTCTATTCTGCTGAAGTCTTCTTCTGATTTCTTAATTTTCAATTGTATTCCTTCTTATTACTTGGCAGCTCTCTCATAAATTTGACATGGGCACCACTGTGTAGACCAGGGCTATTCAACTACACGCTCGCGAACCAAATTTGACCCACTGAGGCCTAGCGAGTGGCCCATGGATCATTACCAATAATATAGTATTAGCTTTTTATGCTGGCACTCCGGCCCCTGGCCCGTCATGATGCCTATTTTCACAATTCTGTACGCTGAGTAAACTTAGCTGGTGATGTAGTCGGTTAGAAGGTCTACCAGTCTGCCTGACCAGTCAGGTAGATCACTTGAAAACAATGGTCTCCAACCTTTTTCAGATGGCGCCTCTCCTGAGTTTACCGCAAAACACCTCCCCCCCCCCCCCCCCCCCCCCCACGCCACAACAAAATGTGATTAAAAAAAAGAGGAAAACAAACAGAAAAATCCCAAGCGCTGTTTACGAGAACTCAGAAAAACATCCACACAAATCAAAGTGTCAAATAACAAAAAGAACAATCACCAACAACTAGTAATTTAGTGTCCAAATATCAATGTGATGGTTGACACTGTTTTGTCTTGAAGATTGCTTTTTTTATGGGGGGTGGGGGGAGTGGGGGTCTGGTATTGGGCAAAGAAGATCACTCTCCGCATCAAGCTGGCAATGCTATTTTGTTTTCATGACTGTTAAAGCTGAAAATCCGGATTACAGGCATAAATGCACTCAATTTCAAAACTGCTCAATACCGCCCCTTAAATCTTCTTCCAGGTTGGAGACTTCTGCTTTAAAATAACATCTGCCTCAAGTGTAAATAAATAAAGAAATATTTGTGACAATGGGGGGGGGGGGGGGGGAGAGCCGCCGTGGTCTAGTGGCTAGACGCTCGCCTGCGGATCAGAAGGTCATGGGTTCGGTTCCTGACGAGTGACCCAGCTTCAAGTGAGTACTAGGTGCAGCCCTGCGAAGTAAAAGTGTCCGGTGTGATGCTGACCACATCACCCACCAAGTGCCGTTTGTTCTATATACAGGTCTAGCCCTATATACCCAATTCGCCTGAAAGGCGTGGAAAAAGGTCCTTTACTTTTTTTATTTACTTTTGTGACAATGGGGTAGTTAATCAAAATGTGGAAGGGTTGGTATGTAAAGAGTTGACTTACCAACATCATCTCTGGTAAGAATGGCAACAGGAAAGTCAATGTACTTGCACTTGAAAACTAAGGTAAAACAGTTGTTGATAATTAAATAATTATTTACAAAAATAAGGGAAAATAATTATCGATAATAAAATAATGTATTGATAACTAAGAAAAAACAGTTGCTGGTAATGAATAAATGTACTGAAAACTAAGGGTTGGGAGCATACTTTGGATTTTTCTCGAGGCGTGGTGGGGAATGAACCGGCAGACAGATTGGCTGGATCTGCACCAATGGGTGGTGAATTGATATATGACAAGGCAGATGTGGTCAAGGCTGTTTGGGAACAAGTAATGAGGTCAGAAGAGAAACAAGATTATTATGGCTTATAACGCACAATAGCGTGTTGTTCATTGAGGGTACACTCTGTAAGTACAGTCATCAATTTGTTTCTGCGCTGCAAACACCTAGTGGCACCTAACAAAGGGAGACTATGTTGCTATTACCTAACGACACCTTTAGAAACCATCAACTACATTTTCCTGCTGTCCCATAACCATTTGTGACTAACTTATTGACTTCCCTCGTACTACTGATTCAGTTTCCTTCCTTCCTCCTTCCACAACCATCGGTAAAGTCTAGGGGAAAGTTTTAGCTGTTCGTCCATCTCCGGACTTTAGTCTTGTTCCAGAACCTGAGTGTTGCATGTACATCCATTTTACAAATCTGGCTTATTTGTATGCAGACTCTTGGCTTCTTTCTTCTTCGGAAAATGCACTCTGACTTCAAAGAATGCCCCCAGTCAACTCCTCCAACCATGCTTGTCGGGGAAGTAGTGGGTCTATTCTTGTTTTCCCCACAAGAGAGCCCACAACCCACATGTAAATGATTCAGCTCAGAACAGGGCTAGTACTTACTAAAGCTAAATACACCAATCCAATGTACTTCCAATTAGGTGGAGTCGCTCCATCATCAAGAAGTCTGAGTTTCTTTGTAAGCCAGTCAAGGCTTTTCAAACAGCCTCCTGTATTCTGTTTTGCTGAACTCTTAACATCATCATCTTTCTCTTCTGCAAGAGCCATTGTACTTATCTGTACCTAATTAAAACAGATGATTAAATCAAGTTATAAAGATATTAAATGAAAGCTTTCCAGCTGGACAGAAGTATCAAAATTAAGCGCCAGAATACACACACTATACATATGCTGTATACATAATTTTCATCTTCCATGTAAATATACAAACAAAATTGTGACATATGCTGGCACGGCATCAGCTCCTTTTAAAAAAGTCTGCACAAAATACGGAATTTTAAATTTTTCAGTTTTATGATTAAGCTACATGCTTTAAATTTAATATTTTAATTTTACCATGTATCGGTAAAAGTCGGAGAATCACTAAAGACATCAAAAGTTAAATGCATTTAAGAAAATATGCTTGAGGAAAAAAAACATAAAATAGAACGAATTCAAGAGCAGTGTGGAAATAAAAGAAATGTCTATGCAACTATTGGTAACAACAGTTATAAGACAAAGAAGATGACAATATACTGAAACTTTTCTAGGAAGAAACCAGCAGAGTATTAACAAGCAGGCACTAAAATGGGAAATAAAGGGATTGAGGAAGTGAGGATGTCCAAAAGAAACCCTAAAATGAACGTTGATGAGAGAGGCCAAAGTTTCTAGAGTGGATACCATACATGATAACAAAGAGACCATAAAGAATAGAACATAACGGAGAATCGACTGCAAGGTTTATGTGACATATAATGGCACAACAAGATAATGAAAAAAATATAACAACCCCACAATGGATCTCAGGTTACTTTATAAAGTAAGGAACTCTTTTTCAAGACAAACAACAACGAATGCTAACAGGGGCCAGAGATGATAAATGGACTTTATACACAAGATCAATAGGACTACAGATGATAGAACAGAATGAAGGAATCGAGTGCCAGATCTATGTGATGAATAAATGGACACAATTCGTTGATGATTTGAAACATGATTCCATGCATATACAGCAGAAGTGATATGAAGTTAAATCCTTGTACTTTTTCATTACTTTACTATTTAAAGAAATGATGCATTTATGATGTTCGGCAAAGTAAGAATAGCATTAAAATGTAAAGAAAAAAAGATGATTTAGCAAACAGCATCAATAGTCAGACTACAAATCAGTTATGAAAAGATATATCTTAGAGACATTAATATGATGCAGAAACTCAAGCTATCAAGATAGCAACAGAGAAACTGCTCAATACCAATCTTGGCTCACAGTATGTGGTAATGCTGACAGATGCTAAATCCGTACTTGAAGCACTCCAGTCTAGGAAACTACCAGAATTGCAAACACTGCTGACACAACTCAGCCTTCAGCGAAGAGTCGTAATGCAGTGGATACCGTCTCATTGTGGAGTGCCTGGAAATGAGAAAGCTGATCAACTGGCAGGGGAAGGTGTGACAAAAGTGCAGCCGGATGTACTAGTCACATACCACCAAAAGAAAAAAATCATTAAATCTATCAGGAAATAACCAGCCCCAGCACAAGACAACTATTTTATTATGGACAGACCAGAACAAGTCATTATCCTCCGCCTCAGAACAGGGCACAACCGATTACGTAACCACATGTACACAAAATTCAAGATAGGTGTATCAGCCATGTGCACCTGTGGAAAGGTGCCCCAGACAGCAGAACATGTACTCCAGGACTGCACCGAATTTGACGCATTAAGGCAAACCTTTTGGCCAGAAAGAACAACAGTAGAACGTAAACTCTATGGACCACTGAATGAACTAACAACGACAGTGAAATTTATACAAGAGACAAAACTGCTGATATAGACAACTTATTTCAGGCGAACGAAAGAAGAAGAAGAAGAGACATTAATAACAGATCTCCACCAGAGACAAAAAGATAATTAGAGTAATTTATGAATTTACCTATTTAGGTAGTCATTTGGATTGTCAAAGAAACATACACACATAAAAATAAGTTATGAAACAAGCTGGCAAGGCAACAGCTGCTTGTAGAAGCCTAACAAAATAACGAACAAACGCATAACATGCCTGCATGCACACTCATGTTAGTGTACGCACACATATACACAAATGTATGGATTTATGGAATGTAAAATAAGTATTCCCACTATAAGCTTTGTTCGGTATGGAATAAGAAACCTGTGCTGACAATGCTGTAACACATACTGTCAACACAAATCAATCACGGCGTAGGACAGTGTGATTCAAATTTAGTGACATGTGATATCATTATAAACAAAAACTCCTTCTTCAACAAACAAAAATCTCAATTTTAAAATGGAATCCTTTTTTTTTGTTCTAATATTTCTATTTACTTTTCTTTTTTAATTTGACTATCAACAAGCATTAATTATTATAAACTGCTGTACTTTGCTGGTGAACGCTCACACTTTGAAAAGTTATTTCTTTCCAGCTACGTTTTGCTGAAGCAAATTCCAAACTTCTGGACTCAAAGTCCAAAGGTTCCGTTGCTCAGCTACCGAGTCGAGTGTGCTTGGTATGATACTGTGACCTGTTTAAGTGGGGTATAACACAATTTTTTAAATATTGGGAAACACTGGTTTCGGGCATCTATGGTTACGATGTAATTTGCATTACTTCTTCTCCAGCAATCTCTGGTCATGCGCATAATCCACTGTGGGTCATAAACTGGGATGTCTTTTCAAGGTCTCTTAGGTTTCCCCAAAGCTTAGTTGTCAGTTCTACTGGGTGTTGCCATATGTCGCTCCGCAGCTCCGCCAGGAGAGGACAGTCTTGCTGCATGATTACAAGTGGTGGAAGTGTGTCCTCGCAGTTAGAAGTGACACCCTGTCCTCCCCTAGCAATGCAGGAAGTCGCGGGGCTGTTGGTGGCTAAGGGTAAACCTGTTTGAGATGTGAGAGCGAGTCCCGCTTTCACTTGATTGTTACCCAACGTGGTGGTACCACTATTGGATAAATATTTGCGCATGGCCATTGAGTTAACCGTATGTGTCGATTCCTCCCCACCAAATATATGGTTGACACATTCCGTTTCTGGGGACAGCTTTTATCGAGTTTGCTCTCTAGACAGTTGCAGACCCCTGCTGACGAGATTCTGTCTTCCCGAGTGGACCGCCGCGATCAAAACATTGCGAAGGCAGCGTGGTTGAGGCTGCCAAAACTATCGGTCATTATCCCGCCCCGACACAGCACAACCACAATACACGCTGTTCCCACGAAAAACACATAATATCCTGCGTTGGAAATGCGCATAAAATAGCAGTCCATGATTATAGAACAGAATAATCCGAGAGAATTGACAGCCAGCGACAATAAACACAGCTGCTGTCCGCCAAAACAAAAACCAGACCATTTGCATTACAATATGGGTGTTTAGTGTCTAGTCAATATCATCATCATCAGTTTTCACTCCTGCTAGTAAATGTTGTGGGGAGGAACAGTTTGTGATCCAGTGCTGGATTGGTAGCAATGGCTGTTGTCATTCCGTGTTGATGAAGCTCTTTAATGTCATCAATCGATCTTCTCCTAGGACGGCCTCTTGCTTTCACTTCAGATCCTTTCATGTGTAGCGCCTGCATTGGTAGTTGTTCTAAGTATAAATATACTATGCTTCGGGTCAAAATGGATGTTAGGCACGCCCACTGTTTTCAGCCACGGCAAACTTTTTTGCTTCTGCCAGACAGTGGCTATTGCATTTTTGCTCCATTTGTAGACTTAAAGGATATAGTTTCGTTGCCCAGCTTCTGAGTTGAGTGCATGGCGTGACACTGTGAGCTGTGGATTTCATTTGGAATGTTTTTCAACTGTGACCAACGTAGTGGTGTGAATTTTAGATTCAGGAAATAGTGCGATGCCGGTTGTTGCAATATTGGTGGTGCCATTATGGGATTAAAATTGATCGTGTGTGCAATTGCTGATCTGTTGGCGACTTCTGCTAGTGCTACTACCCATGATGAACTGCATTTCTAATGTTGAACTGTTTGTGTCAGCACTTTGGATGGCTACTGTATGCTTTTTTTAATGCGTGTGTATGCTAGTGCATAAGCTAGACAGCAGTCTGTCAATTTTTTTACAAGGGACTGTGATAAACATGCTGTGTTTTTCATTGGCACAGAAGTGCAGCAGCTATGGGGTGACCCGTTTGCTATGAAGCTGAAACTAAGATTACCAGATTACCAGTTGTTCTGGCTGCATTCTTACTAAATGACCGAACCATATGATATTCTGTTTCTCAATTAATATGCTGCTTGGTGGTGTTCCTACAGTCTGTCTGATAATAACATTTCTAACTTTGTCTCGGATGATTACATCGGCAGCTTTTCTCAGGCATCTCATTTCACAGGTGTTAATTTTTCGTATGTTAGCCTCTGATAATGTCCAATGCTGGCACTGGTAGCCCAGTGTATTGTCTAGTGATGATTACCTCTTTGAGGACTGTTCGCCAGTAAACTGGCATATGAATTTATCCTTATTGGACTAGTCGCCAGTGTACTGGTGTATCATAGAGACACTCTAATTTTGTTCTGTTTGTGGGGGAAAACAAACGTTTAAAAACAAGTTTCTGAAAAATTAGGATTAACAACAGAAAGTCCTTTCATTTGCAGTGTTCCATGTGGCTTTTGCATCATTTTCTAAATGATCAAGGAAAAGGTCTAGAACTGTTCATACTGCTCTGTCGTTGATGAATCTCTGCCAGATGGTGACAACAGCCTTGATATTATGACTTATATCTAAGTTGGATATATCTACCTATTGGAGATCATCTATTTTAGGATATGAAAACTGAACAAAATATTTCCATCGGATCAATATTTCGATCAGCTGTTTTCCCAATTTTTGGTTGTTTTGACGTCATACAAAAATGATCATAACATCCAAAGTATTTAAACTAGTTGTTTCAAATACAGACTAGCTGATACATAATTGAACAGAAAGCATGCAGATTCTTATAATTGGATAGCAGTGTTAAACAAGTAAAAAAAAAAAAAGTAAGGTAAGCACAAAATATTTTATGTAAATAATCTTCATATGTGTCTAACATCCTTGAATGATGTG